CCACAGCAGCTGTGAGAACCACTGGCTCCCACTGGGGAGCCAGCATTTTATCTTCCATAAGTTTCTTTTTCCTTTGCAATTCTAAAGATTCTCTGGAAAAACACAAATTCCACATTTGTTCTGGGGCAAGCAGATCATAGAATCATAAAATCATGGAAAATTAGGGTTGGAAGGGACCTCAACCCCCTGCTCAGAGCAGGACCAGCCACAACTAGATGATCCCAGCCAAGGCCTTGTCTAGCCAGGTCTTCAAAACTTCCAAAGATGGAAAGGCCACAGCATCTCTAAGGTAACTTGTTCCAGTGTTTCACCCCCTTCCTAGTGGGAAAGTTTTTCCTAATATCCAACATAAACCTCCCTTGCTGCAACTTGAGGCTGTTGCTCCTTGTTCTGTTATCTGTCACCACTACTATGAACAGTTTAACTCCTTCCACTTTTGAACCACCCTTCAGATAAAGGCTGCTATTAAATACCCTCTCAGTCTTCTCTTCTGCAGACTAAATAAACCCAATTCCCTCAGCCACGCCTCATAAATCACATGCCCCAACCCCTGACCCATTTTTGTTGCTCTCTGCTGGAGTCTCACCAACTTGTCCACATCCTTTCTATAGTGGGGGGGGGGGAACTGGACACAGTACTCTGGATGCAGCGTCACCAGTGCAGAATAGAGCTGAATAATCACTTCCCTCAATATACTGGCAGCGCTCCTACTAATGCTGTTAGCTTTCTTGGCAACAAAGGCACACTGCTGACTCATATCCATCTTATTGTTCACTGTAACCCTGCGGGGAGGGTCCCCACACCCCCCTACCACCCTCCACACCTACACCCTGCACACCCAAGCTCTTCGCTGCTGCCATCCCCCAGTGCGGGCTGCGCACTGCCTCCAGCCCCAACCCCAGCCCCACTCCCACCCAGCTGCAGCTCTGCCTCCACCCCCACCAGTTCTCTACCTGCTGTCTGGAGCTAGCAGGACAGGTCTGCAGCTGCAAGAGCAGCAGTAGCCTTGCCCAGAAGACACATGCTGACAGGGTCAGGCTCTTCCACCCACAGCGTGGGAGCGAAGAGCAATAGGGTATGTTGTGGGGAGGGGGTGCCTCGCTCCCACCCTCATGGTCAGAAGGGCTGGGTGGGGTACAATTTGTCAGTGGGCATCGTGGACTGGATGAAAGTGCTGGTGGGCCGGATCTGGCCCACGGGCATATTTTGCCCGCCCCTGCACTAATAGTAGTTCAGAACCCAGCACTGTGCGCATATCGGTGAGTTTATTGTTCCACAGGTGCTTTACCTTGCACTTGTCAACACTGAATTTCATCTGCCACTTTGTTTGACCAGTCACTTAGCTTGTGAGATATTTCTGGAGCTCCTCTCCATCAGCTGGGAACCTGACTACCCTGAATAATTTGATATCATCTGCAAGCTTGACAATTTCACTGTGCATCCCCATTTCTGGTAATTGATGAAAATGTTGAGCAAAATTGGATCCAGCATGTGGGATACCACCTTTGACCACCTCCATCCTATAAAGTGACCATTGAGCCTTACCTTTTGCTTACTGTTTTTAACTAGCTCTCAGTTCACAAAAGAACCTTTCCTCCAATCCCATAGCAATGTAGTTTTTTTTAAGCCTTTGCTGAGGGACCTTGTTGAATGCTTTTTGAAAGTCCAAATATATTATGCCCTTGTGCTTGTTCAGGGGCCTTGTACACATGCTTATTAATACCCTAAAAGAACTCCAGCAGAAAACTAGGCTGACTTCCCCCAACAGATCATATCTGTCCATGTGACTTCTGATTTTATTTTTTATTATAGATTCTACAAACTTACCAGGGATGGGAGAGAGACTCACTGGTCTATAGTTCCCACGATCACCTCTGTAGCCCTTTTTGAAGATGGGCATTATGTTGGCAGCCCACCAGTCTGCTGGCACAAAGGCCATTTGTAACGACAGGCTACATACCGTTGCCAGCAGTTCTGCAATTTCACCTTAAGTGTCTTCAGAACTCTTAGGTGAATGCCATCTGGTCCTGCTGACTTCCTAGTATTAAATTTATCTATTTGTTTTAAAAGTTCCTCTCTTGTCACTTCAGTGTGATCCACTTCTTCAGACCCATCACCAGAAAGGATTGATTTGGTATGGAAATTTCCCCAGAATCCTCTGCAGTAAACACCAATGAAATTAATTCATTTAGCTTCTGTTTTGGCCTTGTCACCCCTGAGTGCACCTTTTATGGTTTGATTATCTAATGGTCCTCCCAATTCTCTAGTTGGCTTCATGTTCCTGATGTATTTTTTAAAAGTTTTTTTATTATCAACTTTAGCATCTTTCTCTAGACCCTCCTCAAATTCTTTTTTGGCCTGCCTTGTTTCACATTTACACTTGGCCTGCCAGAGTTTGTGAGCTTTCCTATTTTTCTTAATTTTTGAAGGATGTCTTTTTGCCTTCAATGACTTCCTTAACTCTGCTGATACTCCTAATATGTTTTTAAACAATTTCCAAGCTGTCTTCAGGCTTTTTACATTTTTTACTAGACTTTTAAACTTTTTGCAAACTAACTTCCTCATTTTCAAACTAAATTCCTCAAATTTCCCTTCCTAAAATTATATATTGGCATAGTGGATGTTTTTGGCTTACTCCCTCCTGCTACAATATTAAATTTGATTATGTTATGGTTGCTATTATGGAGTAGCTCACCAACAGATATTTGGGATTAGGTCTAGTATCGCTTCTTCTCTTGTGGGTTCCAAGATGAGTTGTTCTAAAAAGCAGTCATTTATCATATCCAGAAATGTCATGTCCACATTTCACCATGATGATTTACCCAATTTACGTGAGAATAGTTGAAGTCACCCATTATTATTGTCCCATTTTAGCTGCTTCTGTACTCTCCCTGAATGTTTCATAATTAGCTTCACCTTCCAGGTAGTACAATCCTAGTACTATATTCTTTTTATTCAGGTACAGAATGTCTACACGCAGCAATTCTATGGTATTTTTTCTTTGAGGTAAAATTTTTTAAGGTAAGATACTGTTTCTGTCCATACTAGGGTGGGCAATTATTTGGGCTGGAGGGCCACTTAACAAGTTGTGGGGAGCTGTTGAGGGCCACACACACACAAACACACACATGCGCACATGCATGCTTGCGTGCATTCCCTGCAGCCAGGCCAGGGTTGGTGCCAAAGCAGCAGCAGGACTGGAAGCATAAATCCGCCCAGGTCTGTAGCATGCCCTGGACCACTGACTGCCCCCCACCTCGCCCTGCTCAGAGCTGGCACCTGCCGCCCACATCTGCAAGGGATTGAGCCTGGCTGGGGGCCTCCGTGCTGTCCTGCCCCATCATCAGAGCTCCTGGTGTGTGTACAACCCCCTCTTCCCTGACCCCACGGCTCCTAGGAACCGTGATAGAGGGGCAGGATGGGACAGTGCAGAGGTTCGCAGCTAGGCTCCATCCCCCATGGGCAGAGGGTGGCCTCTGCTGGCACTGTGGGGGGACACTGGGTGGAAGCAACTCCACTCACCCCCCTGGGACCTTGCCAGAGTGGGGCAGACAGGCAGGGCTGCTTCCACCCGGCATCACCCGCGGCACCTGGGAGATGCAATCTGGCTCAGCAGATCCTGGGTGAAAGCAGCTCACCCACTTGCCCATCTGGCACCATGCAGCAGCTTAGGAGATGGAGTCCAGGGCCTGCAGGGCCACACTCCCATCTTCCAGGCGCTGCAGGAAGGAAAGCAGTCCTTCCTACTTGGTACTGCGTGGCAATATGCACTTGGGCCCCAGCAAGCTGCACTTGGGCCCTGGGTACCCTGGGCAAGCTGCACTTGGGCCCCAGCTTCTCTGGCATCATGTGGTGCCGGGCAAGCAGACAGGACTGCTTCTGCCCAGCGATCCCTGCAGCAGTGGGAGACGGAGCCCTGCAGGCCCAGGGCAGCCCAGACTCCCTCCCAGGCTGCTGTGTGGTGCCAGACAGGCACGTGGGCAGGGCTGCTTCCCCCAGTGTCCCCATGGCACCAGCCACCTGCCAGCAGAAGCAGGGCCTGAACATGGCTTGCTGCCACCCATAAGCCAGATATAATTAACTGGCAAGCCGCATCCAGCCTGCAAACCATATTTTGCCCTCCCAATCTACACAGCCCGTCACGTCTGGATGCTTCATTTTGCTGGGATCCTTTGACCCCAACTGACTTCCTGCCCCTGGGGCAGGGGGGCTGGACCCGAGGTCCCTTCCAGCCCCAACGCCTATGAAATCTTCGAAACACACTGTGACGCTCCTCCACCTGAGCCTTTATTTAAAAATCCTGTTGACAACTGTTCTGAAATTGCCCTGAGCCGCGTCACTGTTGTTAAATGATTTTAGATGTAGTCCTTGAAATTACCGAGATATTTGTCACAATGAGATTTTTTGAATTTCTTACCCATGTCCAATTATTGACCACGCACACACCATGGTCCATGTACACTCTACAGAGAGTACAAAAAATAAAAGAGTGCCGGAGTTCATGTACTGGAAAAACAAAGCCCTACCGCACACAGCGAGCAGCGCGGGAAGAGGGAATCCGCGAGGCTTTTCCCGCCACCCTCCACGGCTTTCGGAGACGGCCCCGGAAGCGGCGGCGCGGCGCATGCGCAGGGAGAGGCACGAAGCCGAGCGCTGCCCTGTACTGCCCGCGGGGCCGGCGCGCGTAGAACTTTAGAACGGGAAACGCCGAACGTGGAACGCAGCTGGTTTGAACTGCAACGGCGGCGCCGGGAGGTGAGGGCGCGGGGTAAGGGGTGGGGTGGGTTTCCTCCTCGCGCTGCCACTGTCCCCCCCGCGCTCTTTCGCGCGATCCGAGTTGCCGGGAACATCTACCCGCTCCCGGGCCCCGCCTCGCCTCGCCTCGCCTCGCCCCGCCTTTATGGCGCGATTGGGCAGCGAGCGGCGCTGAGTGTAACGTGTGACAGCGGCCTCTTCGCAGTCCTGCTTCATTCCGCTCCGCTCCAGCCCTCGGTGCCTGTGGGTGCCGGAGCGGGCGCGGGGTGGTGAAACCCATCAGGACTGGTGGCAGAGGTAATTGCTTTTATTAGACCACCTAAGTAAGTTTTTGCAAAAGAAAAAAAGATCTTTAATGGCAAGCTTTCGGGCGCAAGCATCCGTCGGGCGTGGGAGAAAAGATGGTAACAGTTGTCCTGGGTAGAAATGTATCCAAGTTGTGGCCCTGTTGGTCTAGAGGAAAAAGCAATTGGGGCTCGTGGACAGAGCTTTTAGTAGACCAATGAGATTTTTGCCAAAAAAAAAAAAATAATATATATATTATCTATAGATAGATATAGATATATTTAATAGCAAGCTGTTCAGGCACAAATTTGTTTTGGCAAAAAGTCTTGTTGGTCTAATAAAAGATACCACCTCTGTCCATGAACCCTGACTGCTTTTTCCTCTAGACCAACACTGCTACAACCTGGATACCTGACACATGGAAGATATCGAATTTTAGCCTGTTTTTTTTTTTTTTTAAATGCAGACTTCGTATTTTCCCAAGAACAACTTTGACCACCCGAAAGCCGAGATCGTGTGCCTGCCTTTGTCTAAGGTAATTTGAATCATCACAGCCTCACAGGAGAGCTGAGGCTCCTTACCAGCTAAGAACAGCTGCCCAAAGGGTTTTGCCATCTATTGACCCCTCTGTGAAATCCTATGAAATATGAGCTGTCATTTCTACCCAGGAGACCTTTACGATCTTTTCTCTGATGCCTGATGAAGGGTGTTTGTGCCCGAAAACTTGGATATTAGGAACAACTTTCTGAGGAGGAGGGAGGTGAAGCACTACCCAGAGAGGTGGTGGAAACTTCATCCTTGGAGGCTTTTAAGACCCAACTAGACAGAGCTTGGGCTGGGATAATCTAGTTGGGGATGGTCCTGCTTTGAGCAGGGGGTTAGATTAGGCCAGTAGTTCTCAAACTTTTTTTGTACCGAGACCCATTTGTAAACATTGTTGGCCAGTCCCGACCCAGTGCCCCTCACTTCTGACCTGCTGCCCCTGCCCCGCGGTGTGTGTGGGGCATGGGGGGGCCCGAAGCAGCCCCTTGCAAGGCTGAAGCTCTGCCAGCCTCCCAGGGAAAAACCGCAATTTCCCATGTTTTTCTCCTTTACAGGAGAATCCATTTTTAAAGTTTGTTCACAACCCTTTCATATATTTTTTGTGACCCACTTTTGGGTCATGACGCACAGGTTGAGAAACGCTGGGCTAGATGGCCTGAGGTCCCTTCCAGCCAACATTTTCTAATGACTTGATATCAAATAAGCTTACTTAAATAGTATAATTGTTTGAAGAATTGTACTGTCATTGGAAAATGCAACTTTACTAAATTATTAGAACAAATCCTACAACTAACCTTCTGCTATATTTCACATTTTGCTTTTTTTTCCCCCTCCTTGCAAGTAAAGAAGCTTACAGATTATTTACATTCATTTTTTGTTTGTTTTACTTATCAAAATAACATGATTAAGAAATAAGCCTTCAGATTACATTTTACTAAGTATCTCTATTCGAAGAGTACTTGCTACTAGCTTGTGAATCATAATGTCTGTTATTCTTGGTAACAGTAAGAGTCGGCTCTTGAAATGACTGATGAAGTCAGGAGTAAAATTCCTGTGTCTCTAGTGAAAGGAGATGTGATTCACTGAATCATATATCTTCAAAGACTTGTATTCGATTGAAATTTGCTATGTGTGTTTTCTAAAATAATAGATTTTGCATTTCTGAAAAGAATGCCGGTGCCCTTGTTACATCGGCATTGCCTGCCACATACTTGTGCTGCTCATTCTGTATTTTTTATCTAAAAGTACACCTAAACAGTTTTTATTGCAGTGTTCTCTCCTGTAGAGAGAACTGAGTGCTCTTAGTGTCTGGTGATTTCAGTGGGAGTTTGGGGCTCTTCACCTTGTATGGTTAGGCCTTTCTTTTTCTGGAAGCCCCTCCCCCAAATTGTATTTATTCAAGGCAAAAACAAGCAATTCCCCACCATATAATGGAGTGAGGGAAGGGGGGAACAAGGCCCTTGTCTTGGAATGGAGTATGAGGCTGTGAGGGGCAGGCAGCTGCTGCAGCTGTGGACCCCGCTCCCCATCCGCCCCCCAGCCTCAGGTGCCTTGCCTCCTCTTCCTCTCACTTCTACCCCCCCCACAACTTACTCTTAGATTCTTGTTCTGGCCTCACTCCAGCCTGGGGCATGGAGCAGGAGTGCTGCAGTCCCAGCCTGGCCTGGTAGTTGTGGTGGCAGGGCTGTTGCTAGAGCCAAGCAGGGTTGCCGGCGGGAGGAAGGAACGACAGGTAACAAAATCGTTTAACAACAGTGACACAGCTCAGGGCAATTTCAGAACAGTTGTCAACAGGATTTTTAAATAAAGGCTCAGGTGGAGGAGCCTCACGGTATGTTTTGAAGAGGCAGCAGGGCAGGGAGATGGTGTGGGGGTGGGGCCAGGTGGTTGAAGGTTGCAGGAAGGGTAGAGGCAGTGGGGGGCCTGAGGGTGTGAGGTGGAAGCTTTTTATTTTGCAGTAGGTTTGCACGTGTAGCTGGTCAGTTAATGGCACAATAATTGTCATGTGTAGAGGGGGGCCAAAGCTGTTAGGAGCTTGCTCATCCTTCTTGCTTAT